TATATATACTTATTGTTTCTAATAAAATAATGTATGTGTATGTGTGCCTATGTGAAAGATTATGTGAATACAATTAATTTATTCCAGATAAATTTCGAAAATGTAGCAACACGTCTCAGAGAATCCCCGTTTCCTATGATTTCTGTAAAAGAAGCAGTAAAAATGATTCGTAATTCTGTACAAAAGGAAAAAGAAGTCGAAATTATAAATGCAAATGATGCTTATGGCAGAATATTATGGGAAAACGTATATTCCAATTGTGATTTACCACCATTTAGAGCTTCTATTAAAGATGGATATGCAGTATTAGCAAGTGATGGAAAAGGTATCAGAAGGGTGTTCTGCGGTGTAAAAGCAGGGAATACAGTAAGTTTCAAAAATAAGTGCTTATTGCAACAAGCTAGAGCTACAAGAAAAAATTTTTTTAGTCCACGCTAGTCTCCCTTATACCTGACACTTGTGTACGTGTGAATACAGGAGCACCTATTCCCGATGGTGAGCGATTTTAACTATACATTACATTGATTTATTCACTATAAAGAATCTATTACTATCTTTATTTCTGATTGCAGAAGCGACAGCAGTTGTACAAGTTGAGGATACAAAATTAATATCAAAGAGTTCTGATAATATGGAGGAAAAAGAAATTGAAATACTGATTCAACCAAAAGATGGACAAGATATTAGGTATATAACTCATTATTTTTCACATTTTTTTTTTAAACAAGTTTTATTAGATCATATATTTATTTATTTGCTCATATATGTTGTTGTAGACCCATTGGTTGTGACATAAAAAAAGGAAGCTTAGTTTTAAATTCGTGCACAAGTATCGGTCCGACGGAAATGGGACTTCTGGCAGCTTGTGGCTGCAAACAAATTACAGTTGTTAAACTTCCGTCTATAGGTATATTGTCTACTGGAGATGAATTACAAGAAGCTGGAGAATTTTTGAAGCCAGGACACGTTTATGATAGTAATAAAATAACTCTAATTACACTATTAAAAGAAAATGGTTTTAATCCTCTGGATCTTGGAATTGCGATTGATGAGTAAGTAAATCGAAATTTCTTATGTTTTATGCTCACATTGTTACAATAATTAAATTATTTAATTTATTATTGTAATTTTATTTAGACGATTTAATTTATTAATATAATAATTATAAATATAATTGATATATCACATTACACTAATATAATTATTATTTTGTAGTGAGTCTACTATGGTGAGCAAAATCATGGAAGCTATAAAAAAGGTAGATGTACTTGTGACAACAGGTTCTGTGTCTATGGGCGATAGAGATATGTTAAAACCTATTTTACAGACATATTTCGAAGCTACTATACATTTTGGTACCTCAGCTTTCTCTTACTTATCAAGATTTAAAAATTTCTTAGTGAGAATAAATCAAAATATTTTCTTTTAGGTCGTGTAAACATGAAACCGGGGAAACCGACGACATTTGCGACATGTATGTGGCGTGGCAGAAAGAAATATTTTCTCTGTTTGCCAGGAAATCCAGTGTCCGCTACTGTTACTGCACGCTTATTTCTTTTACCCCTTTTAAATGAGATGCGCGGGGATTTTTCCGAACCCATCAGAATACAAGCTAAGGTTTGTAAGATTATTTTTATATTTCGCGAAACGGAAATGCATGATGCATATTATTATGCATATGTTCTAGTTGATGTCATCATATAATTTGGATCCACGCCCTGAATATGCAAGAGCGTTCTTGAAATGGAGTGACAATGAAGCATTCCCGTTAGCATACAGTACGGGGAACCAAATCAGCAGCAAGCTACTTAGCTGTAAAAATGCTAATGCGCTCTTAATGCTACCGGGACGAACAGTAGAGAAACAAATGCTGAATAAAGATGATCTTGTACCAGCGATGCTTATCGGTTTCAAATGATTTCTATCAAGATATCGCGAGCAAAATTACGATTAAGTATATATTCAATTTCTTATTTCTTACTATTACACGAGCAAATTATTTTTTAAATATCTTTTGTGTGTAGAACTCTTCTTCCCCCCATTTCTTTTCATCTCTCTCTTCTTTCTCTCTCTCTCTCTCTCTCTCTCTCTCTTTCTCTCTCTCTCAACAATTAATTTTTAGATAGTATGGCCACAGTATATACAGTAGCGCAACTCCCTGTCGGCACCTTTGATGTTAGTGTTGGCCAAAACGGAGTGCGCATGCGCGAAATAAGTAAGTTGGTCGGTAACGCCATCTGAACTTATCTCTCGCTCACTCTCGTTTTTCGTTCTCTCTCTAACTCATTGATACATATATAGCAATAAATAATAATCCAAAATAATGTATTTTAATAAAAAATATATACAGATAAATTGTTAATAATATATTTGAAAAAGGAAAAAAATAAAATAATGAAAAAATAAAAATAATTATGTTAATATACAATATATTACATAAATAATTATGCTATATGCAAAATATATTACATGAAATAATAGAGAGAGCAAAAAAAAAGAAAATAACATATTATTCAAAAAATATTAAATGTATCAAGAGACACGGTAGTGTCTCGCGCCAAGTCACGCGTAGCAATAGCGAGGCAGAGAGAGCAAAAAAAAGGAATATAAAATATTATTCGAAAATTGTTAAATGTATTATAAAGACAGTATCAAGAAAACATATATATATAAAGTTATAATTACAAATATAATTATATTAAATAGCTGTAATCGTTTCGTAATCGCATTGTATCAAAAACTCTGATAAATTGTGCGATCGTACAATAAATAACATATAATGTCATCTATTCCGCCAAATAAGGTATGTAGTAGGCATTTAATTGGGTATTTAATTAATGTGTGAGAGAGGACGAAAGAGTAGAAAAAAAAGAGTAAGTGAGAGAGAAATTTAGATGGCGTTACTGGCCAACTTACATATTTCGCGCATGCGCACTCCGTTTTGGTCAACACAAAATCGGGAGAGTTGCGCTACTGTATATACTGTGGTATGGCTTCCCTATCGCGACGTTACGTTCTATCCCTATATATTCCTTTAGTCGGGAAGACGCTAGAAATGCTTCGAAGCGTTTGATTGACCAATCAGGATAAAAAGAGTAAAGATTTCTTTATCCTGATTGGTTAATACAATGCTTCGAAGCATTTCTAGCGTCTTCCCGACCGCAGCCTTTTAACGTTTTTGAATGAACGGATTTATCCAACCCGGATCAATTAACCACTATATTTTACTATGAATTCAAGCCTTTTATTGGCAGAGACGATGCAATGACGTCATTAATCGCTCTGAGGACCAATTTCACCAAGTCCGGTTAGATTAACCGACGGTTAAAATTAGCATGGTTCCAACTGAAATTATATGAATGCTTGGTTTTTCTTCACCTCTATTTTCTGTTGGCCACCCTGCTAATTTTAACCGTCGGTTAATCTAACCGGACTTGGTGAAATTGGCCCTGAGAGCGATTATATAAGTTCTCGATAACTTTATTCAGCAGATATCTCGCAGAATCGACGAATCAAGTCATCCGACATCTTTATCTAGAAGATAGCTATCGGGAGGTGTGAAGAAACCGGGCATAAACCTGCTATATTCGAAAACGCTATAATTGTCAGAGCGATTAAACTTGCTACATTCGAAAACGCCATTTGTCATGTAATCAGCTGATAGCTGAAAACATGGCGCAGTGCGCATGCGCAGTCACTCAATACTCAATATGGTCGCGCACAGAGTCGCTGTTCCGTGCTATCGACGGTTTATTGCGCGTCTTTATTCTCCAATTAATCAATCCCAGTTTGTATATACACGATCGATGTCCTTCAAGGATATACGGCGCCTAATTTGCGCAGAGCTACTGAAAGATAATCAGTTCGCAAGGAGCGTCGATATTGAGTACGTCCGCTGTGAGCAACGTTTGTTAGGTTAGACTACATATTTGTATACCGGATAAATCGAGATGAATTGTTTCTGCAAAAGCGTTTCGCAGATGAGAAGCGTGTACACCAATTGCACGCTATTGAAAGAGACGCCGCGGAACTTGAAGGGCAAGAAACACAGTTCGCAGCTGTGGTTAACGAGGCAAATACGCGATCCTTATGTGGAGAAGGCGAAGCAGGAGAACTACAGGTGCAGAAGTGCCTTCAAGCTTCTGCAAATCAACGAGAAATATAAAATTCTCAGCCCGGGTCTGACTGTCATAGACTGTGGAGCGGCACCTGGTAGTTGGACACAAATCGCCACCAATCTGACCAATGCACATGCCAAAAAGGAAGGTCCCATTGGTAAAGTGTACGCCATTGATAGACTACCGTTTTATCCTGTGGAAGGTGCAACCGTTTTGGGAAATATGGATTTTAGAAAGAACAAGACGCAGGAAACTTTGTATAAATTATTGCAAGGTAATAAGGCCGATGTTATTTTATCCGACATGGCTCCAAATGCATCCGGTATAAGAGAGATAGATCACGATAATATAATATTACTGGCGTATGCGGCTTTGAAATTTGCATTGCAAATTACTAAAGTGCACGGTACGCTTGTTATAAAAGTTTGGGACGGCGGCAAGTCACAACAGTTGGAGCAGAATCTGTTGAAATTTTATGATAACGTTAAGGTGGTCAAGCCTGACGCAACGAGAGATGAATCAACGGAAAAATTCTTTTTGGCTAGAGGATTTAAGGGTCTCAAGACTAGCTGATCTAATTAGAGTCGATAGGTACATATTAATTCTCCATTGTGGGACACGATGATGTGTGCGGACAGGTTGTATAAATAAAAGTGTACAATAATTTTGATATCATACGGACAGAGCGTATGTATTTTTTTTACAACTCCTTTCACTTTGTTATCTAACAGGCGACCTTGCACAACACGACAAATGCAATATACATCGATATAGTACGCTATAAATAATACAATACAGTTACACAATTAATACGCATCGGGACGCTGTTGTTAACACTTACTTATATTATGCCTATATTATGCTATATATATACATTTCTTAATAATAAAACTAATATGTACATGAATCGACATCCAATAATACGAGAGACATTACACACCACATTGAAACGCATGTAGACTTACTGGCCGCATAATGTCAAGTATTATAAAAACTTTCCGCTTCGTTGCCACATTCGTAGTGAAACACGCACTAAAGTAACAAAAGCTAATTCAAAATGTTTCGTGACGATATCTCGATAACACCCGCTATAATGATTATAGCTTTCATATTGCGACATATGCAACAGGTCATAATCAAGAAGTAAAACGATCTAACAAGTTTCGATATACCACAGGATTTAATGAGTATTATTCGAAGAGAATCAGCTTAAAAAATTATTTAATTAACGTAATTATTTAATCGATAGTATATTCGCTATATTTTTGAAGCTCTTTGATTTTAGAAAAGGGATAGAAAGCTTATATAATAGGGTATTATAACGTTTTTCAAAAATATTTTTTTATTGAAGTTCATACCCTATTTAGTTATTAAAATTTTTTTCGTTTGCTTCAAAACGTTCAATTTGTATTATTTTTAAATTATTTAAAATATCATAGTTTGAAATGCTACGAAAACGCGTTGATACGTTAATGGTGTGTCAATTTATAAGAGAAAAGAGTCGCTTTAATGCTGCAGAAATGCGAGGAGTAAAAACATCTGCGTAAATATACTTATTAAAAAAATTTGTAAGTAACACTAAGAAATTAAATTTTTTAAGTTTGTAATTACATTTTTGTCTGAATGGTTCAGCCATTGACCTAAATAATTACGTTGCATATCAATACTTTCTCTCTTTTTCTTTCTCTCTGTCTCTCTCTTCCTTTTTCTCTTCTCTCTAGTATTATTACCGTATAATACTATTTAGATAAATAAAAGTTTTATTACGCGTTTTTACTTATTGTATACCGTTGCTGGAAGCGTTTATTATAGCGGGATGTCGATAACGTTCCCGTCGAAGCGCAATCATCTTGCGCATGTAAATTCGAAAGACAAAGCAAATATATGACAAAGATGATCAAAACTTGTCAACTCGGGATGTTTTCGGCGGCTGTTTCCAGCGAAATAGCTTTTCAAGCTGTCGACGTGAAAGAACGATTGTTTAAGTCACACCGAAAAAACTTATACTACGTTGTCGGCTACAATGTAGGTGTAATTCATAATCGATTTGCGACATAAAATAATCTAAGACGTCGAAAAACACGCTCACTCATTATGCGAATTATAAAATCGACTCGCTTAAAATCTGTCAAAATCGAGAAGCGATCTTACATCTCTTTCTCCGAAAAATCTTACAACGATGTGCATCAAATTGATTGCTGCGTATGACATTATTCCGTTACTATTCGCGATTCTCAAGATTTCGTACGACCGGAAATCTTGATTTTTTTCTACTCTACAATAATAACCCTAAAGATCAGTCTGCTTCGATAACGCCTCCATTAGTAGATTAGCTCGACATATCGCTCGTGAACTCGTTAAACGCCGCTTATATATCGTTATCTCGAAAGTAGTGTTAGCACTCTGACAAGCCCAATAACGATCCATCCGCTATACAGAGAATAAAAATTCAGCATCATTTTACATGAAACTTTGCATGAATTAATGACTTCTTTCAACGCATGATATTTATTAGCAATATATTTCGCACTACAAATTTATTATTTTATACTTTTGTGTCGCATATTTAGTATTAAATGTCATTATATGTTTTTAGTTAGTGTATTCTTCATATTAAAGTAATAGAATTTCCAGATGAATAATAACAGTTAATAATGTGACATCAACGCAAATAAAATTTTATTAAAAATCAATTGTTATATATGTAATATCATTAAAATAGCTATATTAGTAGTTAAAAATAAAAAATATAGGGATCCAAAATATCACACACAAATTCAAATATACAATGAAAATGTGGATTGTTATGAATTTCTATTATTGATAAAATATGTATATATATAAAAAGTCACTTGTAAACAAATTTAAAAATAATCTCAACCAGTGCGTGTCTCTTCTATATATAGTCTATTGTAGCGCATTTTAATAGGACCTTATCTACGTTTGGCTGGCTTGTTTCGTAAATATTAGCTTCGTCAGATTCGTAAGATTCGATATAAAGTTCCAACAATTCGATTTTGTTATTCGACATAGCAGCGGCATTTTTCTCATGTAATTCAATATCTCACTATCGCTAAATGCAACGAGTTCGCAAAGAATACCCGATGCACTAAAATGCCTTTGTCTAAATGGACGATGTAGTTCAGTTTCCGTAAAAAGTTCATTAGTATAGCGAAAATTCTGTCATCAGGATTATGTATAAATATCTTATGCCTTACGCTAACACGTTATTTTCTTATTACTTTCTCTATTAAATTTCGTTATCGGTTGCGCAGCTATTACCAAAATGCATTCTTCATATGTTGGAAGCGACTGTTGCGATACAACTATTGATTTCTATGGAAAAAGATGGAAAAGATTTTTCCACATTCGAGCTTAATAATAATTCAATATGACTCATAACATTCGTTTAGTACGTTTTTACTAAATCTTCTCCGCTATTAACGAGTTGAATTCTACTGCTTTCTTTCCACATGTGAGCTGGAAGAAACCTAGATCACTCCTTCTGAGATCGTCAAACTTTCCAGACAATTCGCAGCATCCGGCACTCGCAACACGAAATACTAGACACGATTTACGCAGTATCGATCTATAAAATTATTACGGAATAAAATATTTTCCATCGACGATTTTTCTCGTCAATCGTGTTTTTTCGAAGTTTTCGTACTACAGCGATCTAAATGTCGCGACTTCGTGCGATCTTGGAATACTTCTCGCAAATCATTTGGCACAGTTCCAAACAGTTTACTGGACATTTCTTTCAAGGAAAATAACGTACGGATAATTAGCCGCCAATCGACGTTCTTCGCTTCTGTGCGGGCACTCTATTGACGTTCTCGAGTGATAGGATTTCCGGCGTAGAGGGACTCATCTTCCGCGATCGCGACGCCCGGAGGAATCGGTCGCGGGGTAGCTTCTGAGTGTCGTCGGCCGCTTCATCATTCGGAACCTGATCGACGGGGTAGATGTCAGGGTCCCTGACCAGCGGCATCTTGCTCCAGAAGTGCAACAAATCCGGTCTCTGCTTCTGTCTCTCGCTCGTCGGGACGTGATCAGTTTGCAGTCGCTCCGGCTTCCAGCTCGGCAAATAATAGACCGGTTTCTGGCGAACGGGGACGCTGCTCTTAGTGCTGGTGCTGTCGTGAGGACCAATGTCATCTATGGGATGATGCGAATGCTGCTTATAGCCCAGGCTATGTATGCTGTTGGCCTCGTTGGACGGGAACCTCACGTAACTGTCCTGCTGCGGCTGCTTCACGTAATCAGGAAACCTCACATAGTCCTCGGCCGAGCCAAGATTCATCGTCGTCTGTTTGAAATTCGCGGGGACATTTAGCTGAAAATCTTTCGAATTTTCTTGCAGCGCACTCTCTTTGATGATTGATTGTTCTTTATCCATCATGCGGATCTCCGTTATTGGATCTTCCTCGGGAAAATTGTACAGAAACGACTCTGACGAAGAAGGCGCAGCGATCAGTTCCTCGTTCTTCTTATCATCGAGTTTCGTCAATTGCTCGGTTCGTTTGCGTCCGTGCAAGCTGGTAAACGTTGTGCCATGAGCTTCTTGAGAAAATACAACTTCCGGTTCGGTGTTAGGACTTTTGTCGGATGGTTCTTTGGAATCGTCATCGCTGCTCTTTATAATCTTTCGAATTACATCCGGCGATTTGGTACTAAGTTGCACCTTCTCAGTGTTTACGTCTAAGAGAGTAGTCTCCAAAATGAGGTCGCCATTGATACTGACTTCACTGGAGACGTTGCTGCCCGCCTCGTCCTTGTCCTCCGTAGGCATGGAATCGTTAAAGCGAATCATGATCTGATCGCGTACCTCAAGTGTCTTCTTCTGATCCGTAGTTTGATTCTGTTGCTGCTGATCGCGATGCAGTCGCTCGATATTTCGTGTAGGAATCGTCATGCCGGCTTCTCCGTGTCTCAGGATCTCCTCGTTCTCCAGCTCCACCGAATCCTCCTCGTCCGGTACATCCGTGCTGTACGAGTATTCCGAATCCTCCTCCTCCTCGTCATAAACGAACTCCGTTTCGTGAGACTCGTTCAATTTGGAACTTTCCGATGCCGTCTCGTTATCCCGCTGCTCGTCCATTGCAATTAACGGAACTTCCGCCGACTTGTTCGCAGACGGAAGCGTGGATTCCGGCACATTGACAATGATGACCTCCTTCGCGGTCTCGTTCGAGGTGACGTTAGACATCTGCACAGTCACATGGCTGTCTTTCGTTTCACGTGGTTGTGTTTCGTTTTGCATTATTGGCAGATCATCCGCTATGCTTGGCAACTTTGTAGACGGAATCAGCAAGATCAGTGTGGGCGACAGTTCGGTGAAGTTTATCGGTTTTTCCGCCATCGGAACATTTCTCGTAACTTCGCTCGCATTGAGTCTCGTCACGCTCGAAATGTTCAATGAAGTTTTCAGATCTATCGGGATCTTGTAATCCACAACCTCTGAGAAACTAGTGTTGTTCGCCTCTTCGATGAAATCGGCTATCGGAACCACTGCATCAGCCTTCTGATGAATTTTGCTAACATCGTCAATACTGGAATTCTCAGCAAGAACCGTCGTCTCCTCCAGTTCTAGCATCGTGTCATTCTTCATCTCGTATTTGCTCGCTATTGCGACCTCATGCGGCCTCGCCTTATCTTCATCATCCGGTTGAGTTTTATTACGAGACGGCACCACGACCGGATTCTTCATCGAGAATGTTTCCTCGAGCTCGATTTTCGTCGACGAAGGCTTAGGGTTAGAAGGTATCAGAGGGATATTAAGTTGTAATGGACCACTTGACTTCCTTTGATCGTTCTTATTTCCGGAGGTTTGTGGACTACCGTACATGGCGTTGAGCCGCTGCAAAAGGAAGCTGATGTGCGCGTTTTCGTCAATGTTAACACTTTTCACGCACCTGCCCATGGTATCCGCGCGATAACCCTCAGCGCAGGCGGGCAACGCCGGCGCGATGAACACGCTTTTGGGTGTTATCCTTCGCAGAAGAGTGGCGGAGTCCATGCCATGTTGAAAGTTATTCTGCGCGTCCACTAGGAGCCACGCTTGCCAGGAGAAGTCGCTCAGAGAGCCAATGTCCTGTGGTTTTCTTTTGGCGGTGGGCGCCGACGACGATGATTCAGGTACATTGGCGGGTGCCAATTCGCCGTTGCAGGTCAGTCCGAGAAACGCCACGAAGATGAGGGACATTCTCCATCGAGAATGCCTTCGTCGTTGGCTCAACATCTTTTTTGTGTTCCTGACAAAGCTTCTTCAGAGAGTGTTTCGGATATTCTCAGAGATGCTTGTCTGTGTGTGGATCTTTTGCTTGTCACCTGTCCTTCTTTGGAAGCATCGGATCAGTCTGTCAACAGATAGGAGGGATGAAATTAATTATTATCTGTATATGTGTATATGGTAAATGGTATTTAAGTGGTCGAGTGGAGAAATTAGCGATACGTTTGCGTAATGCGATGATGAATTAACTTCGCCGCTAGGGCTTTCACTTAAGTAGCCGTTCATCTCCTAGGGAGCAATATTAACCCAGTTTCTAATCTTAATAAACGCCACTTAGCCGATGCGTATACCGGACGCGACATTCCCTGAGGTAATTTAGGACTACGAGTTTCCTCAGGAGTTTCTCAGAATGTTGCGCATCTGCTTCGGGCGTCTCTAAAGTGCCTCTAGTAATATTTCCATCTGTCCGTAAGTCGCATAAATTGATAAATTAGAGCGAATTGAGACAGTGTATCGCGTTTATTGCAAAGGATAATACATAAAGAAATATCTATTACAAGAAACAGAGAAACAGATCAACGCAAAGAACGCTAAAGTAATTTTTCCAAATATTAGTAAATCATAATTATAAACACATGGCATGTCACGTTTAGAAAAAATAATAATGGTTCATTATTCTTATGATGTAAAAGTTGTATTTTGATTCTCTTAGGAGCGCATAATAACAGAATCTCGGGATATATTTCTATGCGTCAAATTTGATGACATACACATATGCGTGCCACAAGTCAATTGCCAGTTTTATTAATTTAGTCGACCGTCCACAAATGTCACGTATTAATCGAAAGCGATTCTTAAACGCGAAACAATTTTTTCAAAGGATCATATTATGTTTCAAACATCTGTCCAACTAAAAATCTTTCACATATAACAAAAAAATTCTCGAAATAGAAATCTTTAGTGATTTCTGGAAAAATATATTTATTACTATTTTATTAGGTAAAGAGAAAAAGCGTTGACTGTATTAGAGTTGTCATTTGTATGGTGGTTTTTCCTTCTATATACGATTCATATATCTGTGTGTGTGTGTGTGTGTGTGTGTGTGTGTGTGTGTGTGTGTGTGTGTGTGTGTGTGTGTGTGTGTGTGTGTGTGTGTGTGTGTGTGTGTGTGTGTGTGTGTGTGTGTGTGTGTGTGTGTGTGTGTGTGTGTGTGTGTGTGTGTGTGTGTGTGTGTGTGTGTGTGTGTGTGTGTGTGTGTGTGTGTGTGTGTGTGTGTGTGTGTGTGTGTGTGTGTGTGTGTGTGTGTGTGTGTGTGTGTGTGTGTGTGTGTGTGTGTGTGTGTGTGTGTGTGTGTGTGTGTGTGTGTGTGTGTGTGTGTGTGTGTGTGTGTGTGTGTGTGTGTGTGTGTGTGTGTGTGTGTGTGTGTGTGTGTGTGTGTGTGTGTGTGTGTGTGTGTGTGTGTGTGTGTGTGTGTGTGTGTGTGTGTGTGTGTGTGTGTGTGTGTGTGTGTGTGTGTGTGTGTGTGTGTGTGTGTGTGTGTGTGTGTGTGTGTGTGTGTGTGTGTGTGTGTGTGTGTGTGTGTGTGTGTGTGTGTGTGTGTGTGTGTGTGTGTGTGTGTGTGTGTGTGTGTGTGTGTGTGTGTGTGTGTGTAAATATAATCCAGAATGTAGCTATCTTTATATCTCACTTTTTAACTGAGACTCTAGCATCTAACAAAATATACTAGAGATACTAAAGGAAAATTGGATACAGGTTACATCGTGAGATGAATTGTTTCTCGAGTAATAGAATATATTTTGGCTTGTAATTAGGTATATACCGTTCGCATATATCCTTAAAAGGCGCGTTGCAAAAATGCGTGCCTCGTATGCGTATGCGACTGAATAATACGTTTGCGAGTGTATGTATGCACAGCGAGGAAAAGTGAATGCACGCCGATCTGTTCTTACCGTTACGCAGGCTCGCCGGGATTATGTCTGCTTCGTGAATAAGACGTACAAATATGAGAATCGACTTCCCGATCGTTTATATGTCGTCGCCTCGTGGAATATATGGGGTCTCTTAAGGGTTCTTTTGCCTTCTATTTTCAGTAGCAATAACAGCAAAAGCAACAGCGGTAGACACTTTACGACGTTCCGAACGAGAGAAGCCGCGAAATATATCGCATATCTCAGTTTATGCCGTTAATTTTTATCGGGAATTATTTTAAGATAAATTTATATGATTACGATTTGAAGAAAAAAATACTATTTTTAATTAATAATTATCACAATGACCGCCTCGACGCTTTTCAAATCAAGCGAACGACCAAACCACATAAATTTTTGAAAGCAACGAACCGAAATATATAACTTTGTAAAAGTTTCTTATTAAAAATCTCATATTTTTTTATAAAAATCTATTTATATCAGACAGAAAAATGTTATGCTACGTTGAATTTTATTATTTTTTCATTGTCAGAATTTTTTGCAGTTATTTCATATTTACTTAACACGATTATATTATACAAGATTTTCTTGATCTCTTGCAATAATCAATGACATTTGGTGTACAATTTGTTTCTCATTTATATTACTAAATGATTCGATTAATGACATGAAAGAAATATATATTTTAATTATTTTTAACTCTATTAAATTCTTTCTTTAAATACTTCAACAAAAATGAACAATATTTTATACTTTAATTAATCTTAAATTGAATTTACTTTATTTGTGTATTTTGAGATTGCCATATAATTGCCATGTTTTTTTCATGTAATATGAAAAATTAAAAGTCATGAAGAAAATTAATCGAATTTTTGCTAGAAAAAAATCTAGTATTTCAAATTCACAGAATTCAGTGTGAATGTAATGCAAAATTCACATAATAAACTATAAAATAATATGTACAAGATAAAAAAATATACATCGTAAAATTGTTTTTTAATAAATAAAAAATCAAAGAATATCTTTTTCTTTCTATTTCTTTTTTTGTAATTGATTCATGAATGCATACAAATACGAAAATTGATTTCCTTGATTTGATCGTAATTGATTGTATTAAAATTCTTGCGTAAAATTATATATAATTTACGTTTGAACATCTGTGAATAGATTAACTATTTACATTCATTAGTTAGCTAAAAGATATAAATTTGCATCATACTTAATATATAAAAGATAAATTAATGCGTTTTTGCTATTCCTGTCAATGGCGTGATATTTGAAAATAATATAAATAAATTAACACACACATACATGAGTAAAAAAGGCTATAGAAATTCAAATAACGTTAAATATCATTACGGTGTAAAACATAGAAATATGTGTGTTCTTCAGGATCACAGATTCTTCTCTTAACAGTTCTTAACAAAGTAAACGACCGCGTTTAATCTAGACCAATTTCTATCCTAAGAAATGTACGTTTATCAACACGAACACAAATTTCTTCTTTTTTCCCTTTATAGTTGAACCCAAACGACATAATTTATAAACGTGTATTCCCCGATGCAGAAGTAAAATATAGTTTCCTGCGACCAAGTCGGTTAACATTCGAAAAAAGTTCAACGTGTCCCACGGCTGTTGAAATTGATGCTATAAATAAAACGACGTGTAATGACCGAGGAGATTGAATATCTTTCGCGCGCGCGATCATATTTATCAGCCTTTCCAATCAACGAAAGTCGATGCGTTAGCATCGAGGTAAATGTCAGGCCGCGACAGGAAGCGCCGTCGTCTGGCTTTTCCCGTTTTCATACGAGTATCTCGCCGCTGCCACTCGCGCAATAATTTTGCTCGGTGAATGGAAAATGCGATTTTCCGCGCAGGCCACGATATTGACAATCTCGGTAATCTCAGTTGAATTAACGCCCGGTCTCGATGATCGCCGATATCAGTGATACGTTGGAGTAGAGCAGAGTGCGGAGACCGTGAATATTTCAAACGTGAAACATCGATAATCGTTATCGCGAGAGGAGAATACGCTGGAACGGAGAAAGAACTGTGTGTATGATTTATGCGAGAGCTAACTATAAGTATATATATATCTCTCTACGTGCCTCTTGAGATCGTCGTTGCGATATCGGCGCGATTCTTCTTTCAGAATGACCCTATCTCGACACGCACTGTAAGCACGTGGAAGCGTCTCTATTAAGAGCTGTTAAAGGCGTAAGGGCGCTCGATTAATGTTCACAGCCGATCGCAGTAAGATCGCTAAACTAGGATACTTATCCTTTATAGCCTATTTCAACTATAATCGCTAAATTGGTTATTCAATGTATTCTATGCTAATAAAAAGCATTATAACGCGTTCTGCGATATGCATGAAGATATTAATATGTGCAAGATATGCGTAAGTTTTGCAAAATTAATTTTTTTTTTAACTAACTTTCAGAATTGATGAGGGTTCAAAAAATAAAAATAAATAAGGTAATAAAAAATAAATATAGATAGTAAAATATATTGTTTAGAAAAATGGATTTATCTATAAAACTTGTCCTTTAAATTTAGAATTTTTGTATAACAAGAGAGAGAGAGAGAGAGAGAGAGAGATAGAGAGAGACATGTTCAATTTATTAGAAAAAAAGAGAACAAATATGATAATTCTTCACAAATGTCGCGAAAGTCGAAGAGCTAAGCGTATGCAAATAAAACTCATGCTTTGTGCTTATTTGCTAAACAAAATGTGCAAAATGCGCGTATCCGAAAAAGAAAATAAGTAGAATGTGAAAATATATCATGTTTAATATTATGTGGCGCAAACCAACGGCACGTAATCCAGCTGTAAATTCAGAAATTCGGGCAGAGCGAAATAAATATAGTGTGTTTTAAATTTTTCACTGCTTGCCGGATGCGATGATTGCTCGAGGTCACCGAAAGAGAGTTAACGGTCGCGTATAGTGACACTTTATGCGATCGTTGTAACGCTTCGATCTCGTTATTTTGCAAAAATATGTGTTTCTATATATAAAGATCATATGAGATACGATAATAATGTCTGTCTGCCATTCTTACCACGAGAAAGACATCAGATGTCGATGCGAGGTGTTTTAGAATTAGCTCCGATTATTTTTCGTTGCCGCCGAAGCATTCTGACATATTTTCTTGTTGATTCTTTTTTTCAAGATTATTGCGTTCTCGAATATAG